TGAATGGTATCGTGGTGATACCATGTATGTAAAAATGAACAAACATCACCACTACCACCACTCCCCTTCCCTTTGGGGGCTTGTCCAGGATCCCACTGACATAATTTTGGTTGCTCCAGACCCTTGGACAGAAGGGACAGCATCCTATCCTCTAGGGCCACTATAAGGGTCTTTTACAGGGAAGTTCAGGAAAAGAAAGGAAATGGAGGGTATATTAAGTACCTATGCATATCCATTTTTGGCAAAGTACAGCAGAGGTCCATTGACTGCATGGAAATATTGACTAGGAGAACCCCATGGGAAGTTATGGGGAAAAAAACTAACTGCAGCTTTCTTAAATAATCACAAAGCAAACAAGGCACAGTTTGAAGGCAGCGGGCTTTCAGGAATTGTATTTGGCAGCTACAGTTCTGCAGGCAAAGTATACCACCTTGAGGAATGAATGTAGAAAACATAAGAATCAGCTCAGTGAAGCCTGAGCTGCCTCCCCAAAGCCTTAACAGTCATTTTGAAGGAAACGGGTCTGTAAATGACCAACTATGATGATTGCTTAGGCATTTAAGGCACATTTGCAGCAGCTGTATAAAGACCATTCGGCCTTTAGATTTAATAAAAGAATTTTGGTTCAGTTGGTGTTGTGATGATGATAATAATAATAGGTATTATTATTCCTACAGGTAGACTGAAGGATTAGGTAGGCTTTCTACAAAATATGGTCCAGGAGCAAGGGTTTAGTTTAATAAGCTAGAAAGTACTGTAAGTTTACCACTTTCTAACTTGACACTGTAAAATAGTGAGAAATTAAGTCTGAAAAGCACCCATTCCTCAGGTCTCCACAGATCCATAAGCTATAAGTAAGGCAACTGCTACTTCCAAACAGGTATACCTTGACAGTCATCCAAGAAAGGAACAGATTTAGCTTGTTTTTCGTTTAAGGAAATGGCATTACTGCAGTAACCTGGCCCGAATGCAAATTTACAAAAAAAAAAAATGGAACTACTTCTGAATTACGTGAATGGTTTAAGGCTCTATACTCAGGTGATAGTGGAAGATATTAAAAATGTTACTCACATAACAGGAATTGAAATGTGAATTACTGCACATTTCAGTGCCAACAGACCATAAAATGTCATCCAAGCCACCAGTCAACAAGAATACTGATATAATTTACTTATAAACAGCATGAGACTTCAAACATGCTAAGTGTACATACAACTCGTCTGACCAGATGCTCCGATATTTTTAATTCACATCTTCCTTTCCTCCTGTTTGTTTTCGCTCTGTGACACTTTGTAAATTATTTAGGGCAAAGTCTTAAATACTGGCACAGCCCCTTGCACAGTGTGGTCCTGACCCTGACTGAGCTCCTTAGAGCTACTGTAATGCAAACAGTTATCCTCCAGCTTTTGATGTGTATGTGGAGAAAACTGCTGATGTGACCCCATTCAAATTCAACACATCGGAGAACAGCAATGTAGAATAAGATACTATAGGATTGTTACATACATCTGCGGCCTCTATTTAGATGATCTGGTTGTCCTTTCTGGCCTTAAACTCTAGGACTATGATTTGTGTGAAATTCTAAGTGGCCCCAAGATATTGTAGACAGTATTTTTTCTATAAATGTAGTAGTACATGAAAAGCTTACTTTTACTTGACATTTGATTATCTTCTTCCACTAGCTTTTGCAATTCATCATGCAGTAACAGACAAGAAAGTCATCTCTGTCCCAGAGACACTACAATCTAGTTTAAGGTAGAAGCACTGTTTAAATAGTACACTGCATGATCCGGCAATGGTTTAATCCAAGAATTGAAGGTAGCAGTTTAAATATGATTTGTTACATACTTTCTGATCACAAAAAGTATATGGTTATGCAGTGTTTAGAGGAGGAATTTGCCCAAAAACATGTAAGAGCGGACAGCAAGTTCCAAGCATAGAGCACAGCAGCATGGGAGACAAAGGAAAAATCCGTTAAGGAAAGGACAGAGAGGTAAGGGTGTCATTTTTCAGATCCTTGAAACAGAGGATGAGAAACGTGAATTTGATACAAGAGGGAAAAGCCAGTGATGTTACTCAAATAATTCTGCTCTTAAAGTAATTTTCACAATCCATTATGTGTCATATTTTGGCAGCAACTAGAGGCCTCAAAAAAAATCAGGGTTCCACTTTGGTTGATGCTCTGTACAGAGTAGAAGACTCTCCTTTGCCCAGAAAGCTTATTATCTGAGAAAAGCTGCATCCCATTTTGCCCAGCCCAAAGTACACATGGCAAGATATGCTCAAATACTACAAATTGAATTTGAAAAAAAAAATTCTTACATTTTTGTGAATGCTGTTGGAAACAAGTTTTATTGCAGTGTGGCTTTCACACAAGCATTACAGAAGATCAATTTATTCATGTCTTTAGGCTGGTCTGCAGTAGAAAATTTGAATCCATGTAATTTGATCTGCCAACTAAACTAGATGTATTAGCTTAACCTAAATCGATATAAACGAGGACTAACAGGTTTAAATGCATCTATAACTAGGGGCTTGCACTGGTGTAGCTACAACAATTTAGTTCCACCAGTAACTTTTGCTAAAGCCCTTAATCCTACTCAAAGAAAAGATCTTAATTCACTAAAGACTGAACATTTTACTGTGAGCGCACTCAAGTCAACCCGTTTAAATAAAATAGCAAGTGAGCTCTAAGAATATTCTAGAGTTGCCTAGATGAAGCAAGACACGAGGCCTTCACAAGCACAGCCAGGATTAGTGGAGCGGGTCAGAGACTATCTACCATGCTAGGGTCCCACAGCAATGTCACAAGAGTTGTCAATTTTTATTTTGGAAAAGCTTTCCCATGATTTGGAAGGCCACTTCACACCTCATATATAGAGCTCATTGTAGCATTTTTGACCAGGAAATTTTCAAATTTTAGATGAAGCTGCAGCCAGCTGCAAAACTTTCTGGTTTAAGGTCTGGTCTACACTTCAAAGTATAACTATTTTGGTTAGAGTTGATTATTATCACTACTACTACTACAACAGTAATACAGGTAAAAGCCTTAGGGCAGATGAATTTATACAGGCATAAAGATTACTTACACTAGAATGGTTATTCTTCCCATATGAGAGTAGGTATACCAGTAAAAAGCACCTTTATACTGATGTAACAGATTCCACACTTCGGGGAGCAGCTCCACTTAGTTAAAGCAGTACAACTGTCTAGGTGCAGACAACCCAAATCAATGTTCAATGCTCTTAAACTGCTTCATATGTGAAAAAGATTAAATGAAAGTTTCAGATTCAAACTTGGAGGTTCAAATACAGCTTCTGTCTTTAGAAGTGGGCATTAGTAAATTAAGCCTTGGAAGAATGCCCCTAAATTTTTGAAGTTAACGTAAAAGGAAAGATAGCTATTGCACTTAAGTAGAAACTTGGTGCACAACTGAAAGCCAGAAGTGAAATTCATACTTTCGAAGTAGAGAGAAGAAGAGTGTCTGACTGACTTTTAGAGTTACCTATATCAAATATCTAAATCATTTTAGCAAAGATTGGCAAATACTTCAGCTCATGAGAGGAAAACACTGAAGAATGACCACTAAAAATAGATATCCCTATTCAGTGGTGACCATACCATGCACACCCATAGCAGAAGAAAAAGAAAGTTGTGTTCCTACTGATTTTAACAAAAAACAAAAAACAAAACAAAATCACCTGATTTTTTTGGGTCAAATGACTAAGATTTAAGATTTAGTAGTAGTACTAATTTGCTACTGTCCTTAAAAGTGAAGTAAGAGGAAATACAAATCCAGTTTGTATCCTTTTTGCCTCTTTATGACGTGTGTCATGGCCCAACTGGTTTCTCTTGATTGCTAAATCTTGTCTAATTTTTTCCCCTAGAAGGCTATCAATGACTGGTAAACTAGGATGATAAAAATCACCAGTAACAAGGAAGTGACACCTGAAAACCACTTCCTCCAAATTTAACTAACTTTCTGGTAATACCTTACAACTGTCATAGCGAATAGCTGTTCAAGCTTCAGTTACTCAGCATCTTCATATAAAGGACCAAGGAAGCTCCCATTCTAATTTCCTTGGCCTTTGTACAGCAAAAAACAGCATGGTCCAACGGAGAGGGCACAGAATGGTTTCCATTCTCTGCCCTTCCATAGGCTCTGCACACCTCAGTTTCCTCATCTGTAAAATGAGGCTAATATTTTCCCACCTTAGTAAGCATTTTGAGACATATGAAATTTTTTTGTATTAAATATGTATTCAGTGTGTTAAGTATTACTTAATTTTAATGCCAATTATTGTAAGTCCTCCAGCGCAAAAAAAGAAAAGATTTAACATTCAAAGCAAGTTTGGTATTTCTGAAGTAAAATTTTAATATAAATTTCAGGGCTTCTTTATGCACTGTGAAGAAGCAAAAGATGAGCACAAAACAATTTACTTCTATATATATCATTTACAGGAAATGGTAGTTTGCATTTTCCATTCAAGAAAATCAAAGTGGTTTACAAATATTAATGAACAGGACGCATCACATCCTTGTCAGGTAAGTAGTCCATTCTACAGGTAGGGAAACAGGCACAGAAAGATTAACTGGCTTATCCAAAGTCACAGAAGTCTGTGGCAGAGCTAGGAATAGTATTCAGATCTCCTGTGCTTTAACAACAAAGCCATCCTTCTTCTCCCATAGGTAACAATGGCTGTATGTAACATTTTCACCAGCATTTATATGACTTAGGAGCCTAAGTTCCATTTTCAAAAGTGACTTTGGCATTTAAGTACTAAGCATTAAAACCTCTCAAGTCAAGCAAGCACTTTTGAAAGTTTTACCCTCACGTATTACATGACTCAGGATAGTGGATCACTTCACGTACCATCATAAAATAAATTAAAACTTCTAAGTTTATTTGCAATTCTGCAAATATCAGCTATTTGATTGTAACCTTAACTGGATTGTCATCTGGACATACAATGAAGGTTCTTTAGCAACACACATCTTACCTGTTGTGTCTTCCAAATCAATCAGTTTGGGCATTAAACTTTCAGGTAGTTTTTCAGGTAAGTCATAGCCATTCTTCCTAGCAACTACCAGATGAAAAGCAGCACAGAACTCATCCAGTGTCAATGCGCCATCTTTATCAAAATCAGACAGTTCCCTAAAAGGAAAACTTACTATAAATAAAATCAAATTCCTCTCTAAACCATTTTATTTTCAGATTATATTCTTTTGTTGCCTTATCTGAAAGACTGTTAGATGTGTATTTTATATAATTCCATTTCCCATGTTAATACTTAGGACCTACAGTGCTATGCATTTTGAGTGTTCTTTAATGACAGAGATGAGTCCTCATTAATGACGGGTTCTAAAATTAACGACTGGGTTTAAACTAATTTAATATTACATTCTAAGTCTTTAGTTTACTATCCTTATTTTCTGCATTTTTAAGCACTGATGGTTCTGCTCAGCACTATCTGCAAAAATTAAATTAGTGGCAGATAATACAGCAGTTTTTCAGCATGTAGATATTACAGTTTGATACTTTACATACTTTTATTTAATGAGGGAACAATCTTATTTAAATTAGAATCCAAAATGTAAGTTATCTGAACAGCTAATGAAGGAGACCAAATCTGCTGAGGACGAGTTATTGAATGATCATGTCTGGCATTGTAGCACTCTTTCTACACTGAAATGAAGAGTAAGCTTTTTGTTTAAGTCATTGTGGGACTTTAACAAACTTACCCAGAAGCATGTGTGACTAAATGAAATACGCATGACAAAAATGCATCTTTTTCCATGCAATTTCAACACACTTTGGTTGTGTGAAGTACCTGACATTGTGGACTCTAGCTCCCTGTTAAGTAGAGGCCCAGTCCTGATCCCACTGAAGCCAGTGGAAAATGTAATATTGGCTTAAATGGGAACAGGATTGACACTAGAATAGCACTGGCATTTTGTGCAGGCGACACTTTCTAGGAAGGAAGATGAAAGGTGCTGACTGATTGTCAGACAGCCCTAATATGAAATAGTGCAGTTCTCAAAAATAGCTACCCCAAACTTTGACACTTCACACTTACCAAATGTGAGAAAGCTCAAGAATAGGTAGTTTTGATTTGGTAAAAAATTCTTTAGCTGCAGACCCTGAAATATTAAAACAATAATGCTTAATATTTATTGCAAGCTTACCATTCTAAGGCTCTTAAAGTTTATGGTAAAAACAATTAAACAATTTAGCAAAGGGTCTAAGGGAATAGTGCTAATTAGAAGAGTAAGACTAGCAAAGCTGACCTATTATAAAGACAAATTAGTTTCAAAGCTTCAGTTTTTTTTAATCAGAGTGGAGCTGTACTGTACCAATAATTCAGTAAACGTAGGACTTGACAAAATGATATATAAATCCACGTCCACCAGCACGCTGTCTTTGAGAATACAAAATTGCTATACCTATAGTAACTTCTGTGTTTAAAGAACTCACCTGGAATAAAGCCGTTTAGATCAGGTTGAATGGTTTTAAACTGATTTACATAATACTGCCTTTGTTCATCAGTTATTTTCCAGGGATCATCATAACTACTCGATTGCCTACGAATTTCATTTGCAGTTGTAGCTGATGCTACAGTTCGTACTGTTGTCTGGTCCTGCAATGAAACATTTTTTCCTCAGTATTATCTGTCTAAAACAATCACATGGACTGCCATTGTCTCTAGACTACTTGCCTTCAAAGCTTAGTTATTTCTTGTAGAAGTTTAAGTGCTGCAGGAAGCTGTCAGCAAATTGCATATTTGGGACTATCAAGCTATAGGAAATATTTCTGCACATTAAATGGTGTAGAAGTGATTGCAATTATGTAAGCAACAAAAAAGTATGGAGTGTATGCAGAGAAAGCAAAGTACAAATATTCTCAGTTACTTTTAAATTTGGCTTTTCAAATGTTAGCAAATTTTTAATTTTGAAAAACTTTACTAGATTAAAAAGGTATAATACTTAACAACGCAATGATACAGAAGTATCTGTTGGGTAAATAAGCATAGAACAGATTTCTGACCTCCACAACATAGTAAATTTGGGTCCACAGTATGAGTCTGCAGTGAAAGTATGAAAAAGATGATTGCAACATTAATTTGAATGAAGCAAATCAAATGAATACCAATAAAATGTCACACCTGGACAGAAGCAGGATGCATGGCTAAAAGAGTACTGGTTGGTGGGGTATCTGCAAAACTGACCCAGTTTTCTTGATGTGGTGGCGGGGAATGGCCAGACCATATGGGATCACCAGTAGTAGATGAGCCTGAAAGCAGAAGAAACATTTCCCTTTCAAAATATAACAACCTGAGGAAAATTTAAGAAAACTTTAGCTGGATGAAGTCCATGGAAAACCGAAATAAATGTGCTACCTAGAAAAGCACATTAAAATTGTGAAGACAATCAGAAACCAGACTGTAGTAATGTGAAAAAAATTCGAAGGCTATTCTCCAATGCCTTATTGTAATATTAGTATTTTATACTGAACAATACTCCTTTAAATATACACAGTAAAGAAAAAGGATGGGATTGCTTACTGTCACTGGTATTTATAAATTTTAGAAAAAGATCTGGGTTGTGAACATGTGCTATATCAAGAATAATTAAAATGAAACTTCTTCATATTTTTCCCTTCAAAGAGAACTGAGAAGAGAAACCAAACATTGTACTGAGAGGCAAAGAAACTAATTCATTTATTTAAAGTTGTCATATGGCATTCCTGCAATTCAGATATCTTGTGCTATTTCTATTTTTTTCCTTCTTAATGTTTTGATTTGTAATTCCAGCAACAGCTCATTTTTTTTGAGCATCCGTTTTCTTGATAACTATAATTTAATAACTTAACTCTGTTGCTAAGGTAGTGTGACACTTACTCAACAATACTCGAATCTCAAGTCTGTAAAATTATGTAACATGGTGGTTGAGAGGCTTACCAAAAGCCGTACAGACTTGTTTTTCATAAATGTGTTCTGTTCAGTGAACTTATTTTGATTATGTAGTGTTGGATGTTCAGTGCTTTAATAACTTAATTATACTGATGTTTAAATATCTATAGCAGCTTTTTTTTTGGCATCTGAGTCACCCAATGCCAGGGGTATAAAAGTCTCAAGCTCCTCCAAAGTTGTGATTCAATAAAAAAATGAAGGAAGTCTTGGGAAGGAACAGGATAATCAGGAAAATTTTAAAAATTTGGAAGAATCACAAGACTCAGGTCTGTTTCCTACATCAAGTAGAAAATATTAAACCCCTGGAAGACCAAGGAGCAGTTGTGAAATTGGCTCCCTTGAAGATTTTAAACAGAATGAAGGTTGTACAGTGCTTTTGTACAACCAAATGCAATATTGAGGTTATGTTAAATTCTCACAAGCACATTTCTACCTCATGCATCCAGTGCTAAAGATGCAAGAAGTGGGTTCATAACTTACTATTTGACTCTCATGATACGATCATGAAGCCTACACTGCACATCCGAAGAAAGGAGAAAACATTCACCACATTATAGTCTGTTAACTCTTCAACTTGGAGCCAAATTTATGCAGCAAGAACAATTAAGCTGTTCTTAGGATGGGTGTCCATAAGTAAGTTACCATGAGAGAACTTTGTATATATAAGCAGTTCTTTCACAGAATTTGAGTATTATCAACAAATCCAGGTTCATGGAGATTATGGATAGAGAACACATCATTGTTAGTGAACAGAATAGGCAAAACCTCAAAAAAAAAAAACAAGGTAATGAGACATAACTAAAATGTTAAGAAAAAATTGTTACTGGGACTATTTATATGTAATTCCAGAATTACTCCATGTTTATATGTATTAAGATTAAGTGTGATGAAGTTGCCCTTTAGGCTGGAGACTTGATTAGAGAATATTAAGTCACTTTTTTCAGAAAAAAAACTACTCAGAAAAACAAACTGTACAGAAAACTTTTACCTGTTACTCTATCTGCTAGTGTGCATAGTACATTGTCGGGGTCTATTATACTTTACATACATTGCAAGAAAAAATACAGGATATTACTTAGATTTCTTCCGGAGAGCTTTCTCCCACTTGTAAATAGGGGAAGTCTAATATAGGGGGAGATGTTAGATTACTTAGTTTCTTCTAGCTATCATTGTAATTAATAGTTTTAGCTATATTAGTAGGCAAAAGGTGCTACAATCCACACCCTAAACATTAACCTGTGCTTGGGATTCCTAGCTGGAACTATTGTTTTAGTTCTCTTGTGTACACAACTACTTCCTCAGACCCATTCCTTGTATGCCAGTGAGCTAAAGTAGTGTTTAATCCAACAGTGCTGAGAGTAAAGGGGGTGGTGATCTCAAATTGCTCTATGCTTCCATACTCTTCCTTAGCAGCTAGCCTAATTAGCCAAAAAATTAAGTAGGAGCAGCTCAACTAATGCATCTCAGAAGACCTTCTCTTCCTGTTTCTGTGCCTGTGGTGGGCCCCACAGATAGTGAGCCAAATCTTCACTCAGCTCTTCATCTCATCTCTGAGATCCTTTGAACAGTGGTTACAGCACGACTGGGGGAATAGGTGGGATCTGAAATTGCTCCCATTCCTGTAAGTTCTCTCAGGTCTGCAGCTGGACAAAGTTCTGGACAGAGGCAGAGCTTAGTCCCCATCCTGAACATGAAGTTCAGCTGCAGGGCAGGATTCACCTGCCTGAACAGAAGCAGAATTACAAGAGCAGCTTTAAAGATGTACAATACCTGCAAATGCAAAATACATTCAAAAACATGTATTGAAAATACTATAGTACAGACAGTTTTTACATAACTTAACCAAACAAGGTTTAGTTTAGTTGGTCTGCCAGGGATGCCTACTTTGACTATGGTGGATGAGGGATAGTTGAACTTTCCAAGTTAGTCTTACTGGGTATGGAGGTCTGAGAGAACTTGTCACCTCCCCCTCAACTACTGGCTTACCTCTTAGATCCTGCAGACCTGAAACAAAAGTCGCTAAAGTCAATGGAAGGCTTATATGAATTACGGTTCCTGGACATCTTAAGTTAATGTCTTTCTACTTCTACTGCTCCTGTATTACGTTTACTAAACCTTGGCTGCTTGCTTTGCTTTTGCTGTGCATTGTCGGCCATCTGCTAATGAGAAGACAGTTTCCTTCATGATGAGTTTTTACAAACTTCAATTTCACACAATGACACTAAAACTGATTCTGTGGTGATCATCAGACTATCACTTGTAGTATTTCTATTCCTGTCAGAATAATGGTTCAGCATTTCTATACCATCTATGCAGGATTATAGTATCAAAGAATTAATTGCAATAATTGCTTTTGCATGGGTAGGCTTGGAAGGATTCTGTTTTTATTTTATAAATTTGAACAGGTAGTTGGTTTTTTCAAAAGTGCCAGTACTCTATTTTTATCCTGTCTTTTTTTTTTTTTTTTTTTTTAATATACTAAACAGGAAATGTAAATCCTCAAAAGATATGGTCTGTTATTCTTTTATTTCAATACAAGTTTAGCAACTTATTATAGATGAGTTCTTTTATGTGAACAGATGGATCAAAGTGTTACATATTACAGTCAGCCAGAGCCTGGCTTATACTGATAAACTAAATGCATATGATTTTTTTTTGCTGATAACTAATAAAGAATTAAATACTGTATTTAAAACATGATTTTATACTATCAAACACATCTGTTTATTCAAAGTTTAGCTACTACCAAAGAGGATAAATTGAGAAATTAAGTCTTACATTTTATTGACTGCCAGATGAAGTAAACAGCAAAAATATGTACTATTTATCTGAAAATGTTCCCTGTAGAAGTGCCTAACTGACAAAGTCCCACTGACTTTCAAGTGGACTAAGCCCCTAAGTGATTTCTGAAAATCACTGGCTCCTGAAAATTCTGGCTTCTAAGTTACTTATGAAAGTTTTACCTTTCATCATATGCTTTAACTTTTATTCCTGAATTTCAATTAAGACTGAATTCTTCACAGGTTTTGAGGTGAAGAGAAAAATGGACAATTACTCACATTTATCAGATTTTTACTGAAAACTATGCTTCCAAGCCTAGTCATAGTATACTTGCCATATACTTCCAAAACTCTCGTTTCACCTGAAACAGTAAACAGTTACATATTCAATTTGAATTGTGGCACTAGAATTCCCTAGGGGAAAAACCTGGTAGCACCAAATTAATTACTACATCTTTTAAGTAATCTTAAGGTATCAGCAGAATTGTTTTCTTTTTAGGTAGTACAATCTTGTTTTGTGCTTCTAGTTACTTTTCCATTCACTATTGTTGGTATATGGATTTTTGGGGAGGAGGAGGGGAAGTCTGTGAACAAGTGAATAAAGGTTATTTACTTTTAACTTTTCGAGAATCACCTCTGTTCCTGCACACGTGAGTTGGAGCTCCCTGGTATTGAGTTCACAGAAACTCTACCAAAGCCACGTCCATTTGGGCTGGACAAGTGCCCCTAGTGACATCAACATATGATGCTTGAGTGCAGCCCCTAACCACCTCAGCTTCTTCTCCTGAACTACTGAGAAGACTCTTGAAGAAAGTTATCAGTAAAGTATCTCTTCACTGGTGCACAGTCCTTCAAAGTCCTCTGTGCATGCACACTTGTGGGAGAGTAAAGAGCAACACCTCTTGGAATGCATGGAAGGCCAAGGAACTCTCAAGTCTCGCCTCTAACTCTGAGAATAAGACTAATGCACAGTGCTTAGTAAAAGCATGAACTGAACTCCATGTGGCTGTGCTATACATTTCTCCTATGGGAATCTGTCCTTAAATGTGTCACTGAAACAGCAGTAGCAGGGTGAATAAAAATCAATGATTTTAAAAAATAAAAATTAGATTTTTTATTTAAATCGGATTTTTTTGATAAAATGCTTTTTTGAGGAAAAACCTATCTAAATATAGTTTTAATTAAAATACATTATAGCTCTAAGATATCTCATCATGGAATAGGGATTATAAATTCTAATTCTATTTTATGAGAATATATTCATGTAATGTTTAAGAAAAGTTTTGTAAATGAGGTCCAATAGTTCATGGATTAAGGACCCAATCTTATGGGGTTCCAGGGGCTTCTGTATAGATTATTTAGGTTAATATTTCTATCTACCCAATGGGACTCAGTGCTCAGTCTAGAAGATACCATCAGAGATGCTTAGTTTTGTAGTTCTCAATCTGTGGATTTGTCTCCAGAGATAACATGCTTAACAACACCAAAAATGTTTTTAAATAAATATACAGAGGTGAGAAATAACAGACCTCAACATTATT